TATTCAATTAGTAGCTTGTTATTGGGGTCAGTGATAAAGTTTATAAATTTACACATTGCATTTTTTTGCTGATAGAAATTCAAAAGGACTTTCTCTGTAAGCTTTATGTGTTTTTGTTGTTCTTAACATCCTGCTGCAGAAATGTTTTAAAATCACTTCTATTCAGTAATTTTTCTGTTGACTTGCACATACACTCACATGAAATATTCTGTTTAACTGGCAATAGTAGCCTTGCACCTAAGTTTTGGTAGTCTTGTAAAAGCACAGTGTACAATGAATTGATGGATGTTGTATGTCTTGCCAAAATGCTTTAGTACCAGAAATGGTAGAAAATGGTGAACGTAAGTGTAGGCCTCTGAGGTGGGTTTATAGCATTTCTTCTTTTTTTCCCTTGGACTCTTGATGTTCTTTAAATTGATTTAAGTAAAATTCTAAGAAAACAGAACAAAAATATTTCTTAACAACAGATTTAACTTTATATGGCAAGTCATCTGCTGGTTAAATGTACCTATCAGATATGCTTTATAATCAGTAGTGGATATTTGACTCCCTCTTGTAAGTTTTTAAAAGCTTTTAAAAGCTTAAAAGTAAAAGCCTTGGGTATTGCTTTTACTAAAGTTCAGTGGTCTGCCAGCTTAAATGCTTGAAGATCTTTTGACACGTAAGCAGAAATTATTTTGTAGTCTGACAGTGCTTTCTAAATCATCAATTATGAGTACATTAGTAATAGAATTGTATGCAGTTCATCACAAACCAGCCTAGCAGTAAAACTGTTTCAACTGTAGTATCTTAGAACTGAAAATTTCTGCCAAGGAAATAAATAATTTGTGAAACTCCCACTTTAAGTGTCTACGTGTATTTGGGGAAGCTCCCTTTGCAGCTCTCTGCAGCACAGCTGTCTGCAGGAATAGGACTTTGGCAATCATGTTTGTATTAATGCTCGGTCATGTGATTTATAAACTGTGGTCTAGTTTAAATTGTTCTACAAGCACTGATGGAAGATACCAGTTTATCATAACCATAGCTGCATTTACAGTCTTTTTTACAAGGACCTTGCATATAGGTAACAGTTAAAAGGAACAAAGAACCAGGCCATTTTGTTTGAATAGTAAATGAGAATGAAAAGTCTTGCCTTGGTAATGTGTCTTTGAATTTATTTTAAGGAAATGTGATAAGCAGCAAAAATGTTTAAGAACGTGCCTTCTATTTTAAGTGTTACCTATACCAAGTGTTACTGGTATGGTCTGACTGGCATAGACTTGACACCCAGTTAACTCACTGGGTGAATGCTCCTCTACAGTTTTGAGGGGCCTTTTGATTCAGTAGAAAACCCTTAAACTTAATGTGAAAAGCTACTCATAATAAAATTGCCAACATAGATAATTACGCTAAGATAGCTGTATTGATTTTTTAATTCAATCCTTATTTACATCAGTGTGAAGTCTTAGGTTATTTTGCAAGGCTAGTTGATGTAAGAGAATCTGTTAAACAATAACGTTCTTACATTGAGAGTTTGCAAAGGTTCTTCTCTTCCAGCTGCACAACGTAATTTGTTTTTTACGAGCTGTGTGTATACAGCAAATACTTTGTGGCTGTACTTTGGTCTGCAGATGTTTGAGCAATATATGACATTAACCATCAGGTTATCATCTTCCAGAACTTGTGCCCAGCTGTTTGGTGAAACAACCAAGAAAAGTTACAACTTTGTTTTGAAATGGATATGCTCTTTCTCTGAAGTACGCCTTGCTTATTGCAGACCAGTGTTGGCTGGCTTTTTTGAAGTTCCAAGCCAACAATGTGTCCATAGATGTTCAGAGTTTAAGAGCAGTGGGGTATAGATAGATACTCAGAAGATTTTTTGACTTGAAGTGTTTCTCAGTTTTAGGTTGAATATATATTAACAAGGCTTCAGATGCTATTTTTTAATATATACAAGTAAATATATTATTAAGGCTTCCTCTTCCTAAGTAAGCTGAATGAGGGAATGAAAGCTGAAGTTTAAAGAATAGAAATTGTTTTGGCATTGAAAGAGGATTTTTGGAAGTTCTGGCCTTACTTCTCCGCTTTGTTGTTGATTTTTTTTTTTTTTTTTTTTTTTTAAATTACTATTCTGCAGGTCACCCAGCAGAAGTAGTTCTGATGCGTGATTATTCACATTTTCATAGGACTGCTTTACGTAGCAGATGAAGGATTCAGGCGAGTAATTTACACTTGCTCTTCTACAATCTGCAGCTGTGGAGTATACAGTTGACAGATGTATCATCTCTCAATGTAGTGGATGAGTTTCCACTGTGATCTAGAAACTTGGGACTAAACTAGTTTGGTAGAGTTAATAAAATAAAACTCCTAATAATCTACTCTTGATTCAAGCTCATTAAAGTCAGTAAAACTTCAACAGAATGTGGCCTTGAATGCCTTACTACACTGTAGGCTTTTATGGAAATACATAATGTATGAACGCTTACATTATTCTGAGTGGAACTTGACTACTTGCTGCAGCTGAAGGAAAGTGGGTTTTACGCTATTTTAGGGTCTTTTTGTTGTTTTGTTAATTTTTCTGCCTTTCCTGTTGCCGTGCTCTTCTCATGCTTTTATTTACAGTCCATTCTTGCAGTTTCCTGTAAATTGGTCAGCAAGAGGAAGCTCTCTTGCAGAGACAACTCCGCCTGTCAGCTAGACTAGTGAACAAGGACAGCATAGTGCTAGCTGTGTATTTTATTGCTCTTGCTTTCCATTAATTAAAGATAAGTAGGACTGCTTTTGACTGGGAGCAAGAGCTGTTCCTAACAATGGCAAAGATGATTGGCTGACTTCCTCAGACAGTGGCCCTGCTAGAACGAAATCCAAATGTTGGTTTCTGGTGCTTTGGTTCTTCCTATTAAGGCTATCAGAGTGAAATCTCATAATGTTAAAGAAATGAAGTAACTCCTTTTGAGTTAAATTCTCCCTAGGCTAGTGTGGTGCAAGGCTGCTTCTCACCACTGATTTTGTGGGGACAAAGGCTAGTGGTCTGAAAGCCATATACCAGAGTTCTCTGCAAAACTGAATTTTGCATTTTGAAGAAGGATAAATTTAATTCCCTTCCACTTCCCTGACAGACATGTTAATCAAGTCCGTAAGGATTTCATGTCTCTTCAGACTCTTTATTTGCCATTTTGAAGCACAACTGTTCTGATTAATGTTTGGTCTAGAAAGCAAAGCTCAATTTTCATTCTTCCAAAACTGTGAAACATCTAATCTTTTTGTTGTTGTTCTTCAGTGGATCACCAGCTTGTACGTGTACATATGTGAAATGGCTTCTGTTCTAACTCTGGGACTATCTTGACAGTGTTGGAAATCACCAGAAAAATCAAAAGGGGATCTTGGAACTTGAAATGAAAAAATCTGTATTTCTGAGTCCTTAAGTGAAGAACAGGAGAGGCTGGCATTGGAAAAGTTAGAGTGGAAAAGCAGTACCTCAGGAACATGTGTTGGATAAATGAAACATAATTAAAATGAGACTGTTGAGGCCAGAGAGCATGGTACTATAGTTGCAGGGTTTGGAGGGGAAAACCAAGACTTAGGTGCGTCAGACCAGAAAAGGGAAAGAGGAACTGATTTTTTTTTCCCAATGTTGCGTATACTCAAATGCTGTCATTTTGATTGTAGCTTTCTTACTGAAGTAGAGATAAAGGTTGCAAAGATGGTAATGCAAGTGTAGAAGAATATGCTTAGATAGTGGAGAACTGGGGGAGGAAAGGTTGCTTTAAAGCATTGTGGGTCAATGCTTAAAGTCTAAACTGGTAACTATATTGTAGCAGATAAAGCAAGTGAATTTAACTCTCAAAATGCTGAGTTGTAGTCCTCTTTACATCTTTTCTGTGTGAAAAATCTGTTAATTCAGCCACTGAGACAACTGGGTATTGATTCTTATTACATAGCATCAGGATTTTGTGCTGATATGCTGATCCTTTTAACTAACAACAAGCACAGGATATTTGTGGTTTGCTTCCCCTTCCTAAATAGCCTGGCTATAGAAGGAGTGCAAATGGGTGCCTCATGGTGAAGACTGAAGACTTTTCCAGCTGATACATCCATGGCCAATATATGAACTGTTATTTTCCTCTGTGCTTTGACTGTTGGGTAGTTTACAAAAAGGAAAGACTTTCTATAGAAACTTCTTCCTTCTCTTTTGGAGTACAGATTCCTGTCCATTTCCCCCAAAATATGTGAAGTAAGCTTTACTTGGCATATTCGTGTATGTAGGTTTTGTCCATCGTTCTGAAACTTGCCAGTTGTTTTTGTCTTATTTGAACTTTCTAACCCGGGGTGTTGGATAATTCCAAAGAAAGTCAGTGAAATGCTTGAATCCTTTTAAGAGCTCCAGGTGAAAGTAAGTGTAAAAGAATGGCATTTATTCATCATCAGTTGGTGATACTTGTCCTGTAGAATTGTTGTCCTTGCATTGTGAGTCTCTTGGATTCAAATTCTATTATCTTTCGTGCTTTGCACAGTGTCAAATGTACAGTCAAGACTTACTCTACAGGATGCATATGCTGTATAATCTTTCAAAACAGCTATTTTTAATTTCTTGGGTTGAAAAGGGAAGGACAAGCTCCAGCTACAGAAGAGGAGAGAGGTATGAAAGACTTACCATAGTCCTGAGGTGCAGTGCCAGTACCTGAAGCCCAGGCTCTTCAGCAGCCCAGGCAGCGTTTCTGAGCTGTGCCTCTGCCGCTGTGAGAGCCTGAGTACACTGTAAGAAAAAAGGACTAATTTCTTTTTTTTTCCCCAAGGGCAAGCAGCCGATTGGAAGGTGAGTAGGAAGCGAGTGAGCACTGGAAAATCCCCTCTTATTTTCTGGCTGAGGTATGCAGGGTTTGATTTATAACCTCTAGGGGAACCTGGGAAATCTGACAAAGATAGTGCTGCCCACTACCGCTGGGGGAAACAGGAAGTAACAAAGGAAACAAGTCATTGCCTCGGCGTCCCCCTTGGCCGCGGGGCAGGGCAGAGGCACAAGCAGCTGGGGCAGGGTGTCTTTTCTGTTTGCGTGTTGAGTGTACAACAGCTATCGCAGTCACACGTTCAAGCGTGTAATACACAGAACGGGGAGAAGCGCAGAGATGTTCCTGTCATGCCTGAGAGGGGTCTTAAGTCGTTAATGGCTCTGTCATCACAAAGGAAACAATCATTCGGTGAAACTGTCGGCAGAAAAACTATGTGTCGGTCAGGCACGCTCACCAGGTTAGTGCATATTTGTGGCTTGTATTTCTGTCATCTTTTCGCTTTTAGGTAGAGAGCAGACTAAAAGCAGAATATTCTATCTGTGGTAAAATACTTTTAACTCATGCAGAAAATTAAAGGGTAAAGAACTGAAGGGGGAAGAGATGAGGAGAGTGTTCGCTGAAAATCTTTGACAGAAAAGAAAAGCAAGTTGAAGCAAGTTAAACTGAGTAAACTTACTTAAACCAGAGTATCTCAGTCGGGCTTAGTTTTCTGTTCCCTTTGTCCTGTAAGATCTATTTGACTTTACAGTGTTTGTACTGTGCTGTTAATACTTTTGAGAGACTATTGTGAAAGAGGCTGTTAGAAGTATTAAGAAATGGAATGTGCAACCAAAAAAGTAGGAGAGATGTGGAAGAGTATTTCAGAAATACTGGAGAATGTTTAATAAACGGAAGAGAGACACAAAAATTTTGCAGAAAGCAGTTTTAAGAACAGATGGCAAATGTTTAGATGGTTGAATCTGAGAACTAGTTTTTGTTCAGAATTGCTGAGAGCGCATTGGGGAAGCTCTTATTTTACAGTTTTGCTGTATGTAATGCTGCCTCATTTTTGGTTAAGCCTTTTGTAGAGACTGAAACTTCAGTCTCCCTCTGCATTATTTGAGGAATGCATTTGTTTCTGTAGGCTTTAAGTTACATACGCAATGTTATATGCAAGTTAAATATTCAGAAGGAAACTGGCATCTTGCTTTGCTAGGTTTTACTTTCAAAATAGAATTTAAAGGCTAGAATTTACAAGATATTATGGAGTTTAAAAAGTTCTCACGCATAATTGGCAAAGAGATACTTGTTACAAATTCAGAACAGGTTTAATTTTTGTACTGCAACTTTGGAGGCTTTTTTTTTTTTACTTGTTTTCAGCATGACCAAACTGGGCTCCAGGACAGACCGTAAATATTGTTATAACAAGTGAGAATTTTTAATACAACTTTTGGCAGTTGTAGTTTCAGAGATGAGGGTAATGTGTTTTTACGCCTATATACTGCAAGATGTGGAGATGATCACATCTGCCATATGTTCTGCTGAAGTTAAGCAAGAACTGAGGACTCGTGGCTCTTCCAGGACGCAATCCTTAGTTGAATCAGCTTGTATTTGCTTTAATTGAGCTGAATGCCAATAGCTCTTAAGGCCAAAAGGGGTAAGTGTTCTTCTGTAATGTAATCCAGATTTTTAAGGTTATTTTTACTTGTGGAGGGACTTTTAGCCTGTAAAGTTATGCCCTAGCCTCCAATCTAGCTATTCTATATATGGTGACTGAGGGGATAGGTTAAATTACTTCGGATGAATATATTTTCATATTATACAATAACAGAAGTCTACTCTCCATTTGGACTTTGAGCTTGGTAACAGTATTGTTGTTATTCTGAAGAAACTTATGCATCAGACTGGCATTATCTAGGTTACACAATGAAGTGTGTAATTTCACATTTTTTCATGCTGTTGTCACTTTCATGCTACTTTAAAATAAAAGCCAGCTCATTGTGATAGTGTTTGAGAAAAGTATACTCATGTGATAGACTTGGACTGACGTTACTGATACATTACCGATACACTGCAAATTGGTTTGGTTTTTAGTCTGGCAGGCCAGTTTGTATATACGAAGTAATTACAATGGTAATTGTATAAGCTCTGTATTGCGCTCGAGCGTGCTAACTACACTATTCTGTCTTTCCAAAAGCGCTGATGAATGGTGAAGCAAATCCTATAAACTGCTGTTCCACCATTTCTCCTACTACACTCAAAGGCCTGTCATCTCCTTCACAGGCATAGAATTATCATGGGGACCATCTGAGAAGCAAAGCGATGCGAGGCCTTTCACTGTCTGCTGCCATCCTCTTCTGGTTCAGAGGGTTCAGTTCAGTGCTGTTTCAGTGGGGGAGAAGGTTGATTCTATAGCCACTTATAATGGGTTTTGGGGCTTGATGGAAAGCTAAATTTAAAAATGCGCATCTAGCCTCTTGGTGAGTGGGAAGAAGAATAAAGCGTGTAGCTATTGCTAGGAGCTTGCACAAAACAATGCATGAGTAATGTCACCTTCCGTTTGTAACAGAGGACGGGCATCAGAAAGAGAGCATGGCTTGGCTCTGATTGCACTTAGTGGGCCCTTTCTGTTAACTTCATCATCAGCTCCATGGAGGAGACTCGGCTTGTGCTTATGCACCTGGGGTGAAAATGTGTAGTGGGGTCTTTGGCTTGTAGTGCAAGAATGTGACTGCATAAGAAACAGCTTGGAAATATCTTTCTGTTCTTAATGACTGTGGAGCTAACAGGCTCTACAGAGACTTCAGTGGTTGCTATTGATCTGTTCTTCATGAAAGGGATTAAAAAAATTATAAGAGGAATATCAAGAGTGGACAGAACCATTTCAGTGAGCTACAGGCAACCATACTGTAGATGCTAAGACAAGAAAAATATTTAAGAGCATCCATTTTTCCTTTCTCCCACCCTACAAGGAAGATCCTGCAGTTATATTGTTTTGACAGCTTTCTCCCAGCAGCTTGATGCAAACTAGTATCTAGTGCCATGCCAGGATTGTGTGGTACTGTCAAGAAAAGAAGAAAATCTGCTTGGGACTAGATTCAGAGTACTTAAATGGATTTTGGAAGCCTAACTCAAACATTTCAATTCAGAAAACCAGAGTCCTCCCTATGTGTCTGCAGAGTGCTTGAGGAGCCTACAGATGTGATAGGGAGTGCTGTACGCCACAGTGAGATCCAGAAAATAGGCACAGCAGCCCCTAAATCTATTGAAAAGCCTGGTATATTGGGTGGGTTCTTCAGCTCGTGTAATGTGTACTTGGTTCTGTGGATTTCAGCCATATCTCCTTTTATTTGCTTAGCTGGGATAGGGAAGTTCGGAGGTTTGGTCTCTATTCTTGGTACTGTTTTATAGTGAGTTGTCAAAAGTAGAAATGATTGTGAATAGAGGAAGCAGAACCCGATACTCTGCCATCCTTCCCCCTCAGTTAAATCCTGTAGTCATTACACTGTAGAACTGGGGTGGGTTTTTTTGGTTTATTTTCCCCTGCTTGCTCTTCTGCTTCCACGATTTTATTTTTTTTTCATTCTGTCTGTCTAATATTCGGGCTTTTCAGGTGGAGGAGAGTGCCCCTTCCAGGCACACTTTAGAGAGTAGTCTAACTAGTCTGTTCCCGCACGGAAGGCCAACATGACCTAGTCAAATATTTCTGTTTTCTGTGTTGACCTAAGGTGGGGTACCCTTGTCCCCAGTGTTTGTCATTGGCTTCCTAGAAATCTCAGCTCAGTGGTTGTTTTGGATAACCTCTCTGAGACATTTAACTCTGCCTCTTCTGATATGTTTTCAACCTATGTAAGTAACACTGAAACACCAAAGGCTAGGTGCTTTAGCCTTTTCTTGTTCTGTTCTTTGTAGTAAAAGCACACAGGATTTGAAGACCCATGGTGAACTTGAAACTGTGAGATGGCATTGAGACTAATGTTAGAATTACATCAAGAAAACTGAGATCAGAGTATATTTGTCCGAATAAAAAGGTTCCATTTTTACTTAATCCTTTTTTTGAATGTAACTAGAAACAGAATGAAATAACTTAATCATAGATTAATTTCTAATGTTTGAATGTTGATGTGCCTGTGCTTAAAAGAAAAATTTAGCCCAGGCTTTGTCTTTGCATTCCTCATTTCAAGGAAATCACTCTTAGCAGTACTGCAGTGTGGTTTTGGTGTCAGCAGCCAGCTGGTTATGTTCTCCATTTCCCTCATACTGACTTTTCTGCGAGATGTGGAGAAATAATTTGAAGGACTGGGGGAAGGGGGAGGCGGGGAGAGGGGGTGACTTCTATTACTATTTTTTTAATTCTTAAAAGCTTAAAATATCTGTGTTCATGGACTGTTAATGCACTGCTGTTGCTAGGAATTTCATTGTGGGGGAGGAGAAGGAACAACTCAGCTTGGAAAGATCTCAGTCATGTAATCAGAATAGGGAGGAAATAGCAGGAGGAAGGATATAGCTGAATACAACAAAAGTAACTTACCTTTTGGTGGGCAGAAAGGTCCTGGAGGAGAATGGGGAAACCATGGTGCCTTGGCTCTGCTGTGAGAACCTTTCTAGGGCCTTGAATTCTGTCTTCCATGCTTGTGCCTGTTTTATAACACTGGGGACTAAAACCTAGTATTTGGATTAAGTTTTCTAGGCTGCCTAGATAATTTAATTGAGCTTAAACTCTCCTGGTAGAAATTGTTAGTAATTTCTACCCGTTCCCGCACAGGCATCATCAGCAAAGGGTAAGCAGTTAGATCTAAATCCTAAGCTGATTCAGTGAAAGATCAATTGGCTTGATATGTGTTAGGAATAACAGAAATGCAATGGATATGTACTCTACTGTTGTAATTAATCCCTCAACAAATCTGTATAATTTGCTTATTCTTTTCTGTATGGGTACTTCAAGTTGCCATCTGAGGCTGGAGGAACGTGCTTGGGTTGGTGCACTGTGCTGTAGGCTCTTGGACTTCTGTACTGAGCTACACTGTTGGCTTCCATTGCTGTCCCTTTTGGCGGAAGGAGAAGCAAACAGGATCCGCTAGATTTCAGTCCTCCACTAAAAGCTTTTCAGTTCTAAACTATCATTCCTTTATCAGAAACTAATTAACTGGAACTTCATTAGTTTGCCTCTTACCAGCAAAGGTCTCTAGCCCTACACCTGAGGATAATGGACCATTTTATGTCTAGGTTGAACTTCCCATGCAGTTCATGCATGATTTCTTTTCTGTATTACACAGTAGGACTTCTAGCCTAGTTCTGTTACCAGCTGAAGAAAGGAAGGTCTCATAGTGATATATCAGACAGAAAAAACTACTACTGAGAAACTTAATTTTCTTGGTAACCTGTTTAAGATGATAGCAGAAAGAGTGGTAGCTGTGAAGGTGCTTGGTGGAGCATGGCATTAATAATTGATGTATAAATTAAATGGCAGTCTCCAGCAATCTCAGATAAACTTCATTTGCACAGGATGCTGTCACATATGATGTCAAGTATGAGATTTTATACTAATGCTTTCATTCAGGTTAAAACATGTAAATATAAGGACTAAGTAGACTTAGTATTGGATACTGCAGTATGATTCGATTCCCTCATTTTACAGAAAATTATATTGTATATACACGTGTGGCATAGAACTTTGGAGAAGAAACTGATTTTCTAGTCACCTGCCTGATTAAGTCTTGCAGTGTTATCTGAGGCATTTTAAAAATACAAATACTTAAATAACAGTTACTAAGCACTCTTCCATTGTTTCAACAGCTGTCAATCACTTTTGAGAGCTGTATAAAAATAAATCGGGACTTTCTGCACCATGTTTTTTTTATACATTACAAACTTCCTGGAATCTATGAACACCCGTCTGTGCTACATACTTGACTGCTGAACCATGTTAGTTGTTTGGAAAACTTTAAGGAAACAAGCTTTGTTTCTCAGTACTCGTTTCTTAAAGTAAAATCTAAGTTTTAAACTGTTTTTAATTATTCTACATTGCAGAACGATGGCCTCGCAGGAGCAGGTCTGGCCAGTCCCAATGAAGGCAATTGGAGCACAAAACCTTTTGACAATGCCTGGAGGAGTGACCAAATCAGGGTATCTTCATAAAAAAGGAGGCACCCAGCTGCAGATCTTGAAATGTAAGTTGAATGAGGTATTAACTAAATTACATGTTTTAAATGCTTGCCTTTGGGGCCATTAACACATTTCATGTTAGCAGGCTATTTAATGAAGCTGTTTTTTCCACTTACTTTGTCTGTAATGGATTACAATTTTACTCAAATATATGTATGAAGGACCCATATTGAAAGAATTTCCTTTAACTGTTTTGGAACCAGAATCTTAGATGATAAATGTTGTGGTTGATTTTCTTTTTCTTGGTTAAATCTCCTGTCCTTCACAAGTAAGGTTTTTAAAGACAGAATCAGATTCCTGGGATACGTATCAATTTCAAATAGTCCTTTCTAAAAGAAATTAGTACTCAGCTTTTTTTCCAGTTGGTTATTCTGTACTGGAAAAATATCCCCATCTCCTACTGCTGTTGTGAAATGGAATTTTTCTCACTGCCAACATTAGGCTGTACTTAAAAACAGTAATTGCTTCTGGAATCAGAATCTATTTACATGGAGAAAAAGTAAGATTTTGGGTTTATTTATATGCTCTTCATTTGTTATCCCTGTTTATAACAAAACTATACTTACATAGCTAAGGACAAAGATTACGGCCTTTGATAAAGGAAGGAATGTTGACCCCTTTAAAAAAAGAAAACAAAACATCATTTTATTGGCAGTTTTATGTATTTGAGGGGAAAGAAGAGAGGGAGATACCGTCATGAGTCTTGGGATGGACATCGACATGTGTTTGTAGCCAATGGCTACCTTTCTCCCGTTTTGTTTTAGGTTACATTCTTACGTTAGCTTATTCCTCTAGTAAAGGAGCACAGGTAGAGGTCAGACCTGCACTGCAGTTTCTTAGGCTTCTTTTGAAGTTATCAGACCAGCTCCTCTTAAATGAGGGAAGCAAGATAAGATTGCATTAACAAGATTACTAAAATCTTAAACAGTAATTCTACCCATGTTAAGAGATTCTAGTTAATGTACTGCTTTTGGATTTATATTTTGCTCACTTTTTTCTTTATCTTTTCAGGGCCATTAAGATTTGTGATTATTCATGAGGGATGTATTTACTATTTTAAGAGCAGCACATCTGCATCTCCCCAGGGTGCATTTTCTTTGAATGGTTACAACAGGTGAGTACAAAAGACCTAACTTAACACCCAGCTCATTTCACTTAATGCAGGGGGCTATGGTTTTCATTTCCGACTAAGTTAAACTCAACTACATCTGTTGTTTGGGTTAAGGACTGATCCCAGATTCCAAGAGATGTATTCCTTTCAAATTGTATATATGATGTTTCCTGTGCTTTTCAAGCGTATAGTCTTCATCTTTTGTAATTTAACCAGTAAAGCTGTTAAAATTGCAATGGGCTTACTCTTGTTACTGACTTAATGCAGACTTTGCACATGCAGATATGTGTGGATTCTCTCAGACAAACGATCTTTGTTCTCTAGTGATTTCGATGATCATCACAAAAATAGGAAGGAATCAGAAAGGAATGTTTATGGAGTTACTGATTCAGTAACACTAATTGGTGTCAAAATTGAATCAACTACAGGAGTGATAAATGAGAGAATGCATGTGCAAAATGTCTGACTCATTTCACTATGTTATAAATCTTAATATTTGCTTTCTAAGTTGAAGACAAAAATAATGGTTTTCAAGTTAACCAGTTCTATCAGAATCTGACTGAGTGCGGCATACATACAAGGCCTACTAATAGAAGTCCAACCTAACTTCAGGAAATTGCTGTTGTAATTGATGGTAAGAAAGGACTAATTAGAGAGAAAAGGTAGAGAAATACCACATTATTGGTCCTAACCTCTGCAATTTTACTGCATTTGTAAACGTGTATGTTATTCTTGTACTGCATAATGTTCTAACAACAATGGCATATTTTATTGGAATGCAGTTGTAAACATTATAGCTAATTAAAGATTCAAGATGAATTTTTATAAGCAACCTATACTGTAACTTGGCCATTACACTAGGTTCTGTAATCACGTTAATGTAAAAATACTATAGAATTTGTAAATGCTAGGGACTGTCTCATTGCTTTTTATGTATCTGCATTCTAGCAGCCTTGCAGGGACCTTGGTTGGAATTGGGACTGGGTCTTGGTTAGTACTATGCACAGACATAAGCATTATTGAAAAAGAATTTGAAATAAAAGAATTTGTTAGAATTGGTAGTTGCATAGGGCTGTGTGAAAACAAGTCACTCTAAGGCTTCCCTGGAAGTTTTGCAGCTTTTGTTCAATAGCTGTTATGTGTTAAGAGTGGATGGGAGATGAGAGAGTGCTGCATTTGCTAGTGACTCAAAATGTATACTGATGCCTATTGCAAGTATCCCTCCCAGTTGTACCATGGGTATTTCCCACATTAACATCCTTATTAGCCTTACATTAGTGAAATAACTTATAGTTTCTTTTGTGGCTTTGTTTTGGACTGTGCAGAAAACTACAACATCCAGCTTAAAAGTAGGATTGGGGTTCTAAAAAAGATGCAATCGCTAATTCTGAAATAATTTTGCAGTTGACATTGTTATTAATAGCAGCTTCAGGGTGTTGATTAGAGATTTTTTTTTTTTTTTAATATAGAATGGGTTGGGTTGGAAGGGAGCTCCAATGGTCATTCAGTCCAACCATGGGCAGGGACACCTTCAACAAGATCAGGTTGCTCAGAGCGCCATCCAACGTGGCCTTGAATGTTTCCAGGGATGGGTCATCTATCATCTCTCTGGGCAACCTATGCCAGTGTTTCACCATCCTTGTAAAAAATTTCTTCCTTATATCTAGTCTGAATCAACCATCTCTTAGTTTAAAACCATTACCCCTTGTCCTGTTGCAGTAGGCCCTGCTAAAAAGTCTGTCCCCATCTTTCTTCTAGGCCCCCTTTAAGTACTGAAAGGCCAAAACAATGTTCTCTTGATTAGGTGCCTAACCAAATGTCTCTGATAATCTTTTTTTTCCTGTGTTTACAAACCACCTTCCCTAAATGTTAAGGACTTATGGAAATACTGTGTTATATGAGGAAACTGGTGAGTTAAAAAGTTTAGGAACAAGAAAGCAAGCCCCAATAATGATTGTAAAAACTTTAATCAGATTTCTCTATGGCTTATGCTGAATAAATCTTAGAAATGTTACTTTTAGATTACCCACAGTCTAAGGATTTTAGCCGTCTTATTTGTTCCAAAGCCTTTATAATGAGCATTTACAACCAAATTTGTGTGTGTGTAAGGAATTTCTTCATTTGAGACTCCTCTGGGGGGAAAAAATAAAAAGAAACAAACATATCTAATGCAGTTTGTGAAAGAGGTTGAGCTATGCTTGTTCTAAAATAATAAAGTGCAAGAAAGTGTTTATAAGGCAAAAGTGGTAAAATTAACTTTTAATATAAGTTCTCATTTATTTTCATGAACAACCTGTGTTTTGATTTATTCTCTGTGCCTTTCTTGATATAAGGATCACAGGCACCTTAAACACTTCTTGCCATGGTGTGAAGCTTGTGAATTATTGCAATTCATGAAAACTATTGAACGAGTGAAAAAGTCCATTTATAAATCTTGGCTGGTGGTTTAACTAGTGCTTCTTCTCCTGTCAGCGCTCTTGCATTGTCCTTTCTACCACTTTAATGGAGAAGTGCAACAAATTCACATATGGGGATTTTAGTGGTGTTTTCCTGGGCTTGGGAGTTATTTTTGGTGAGACAGAACTTAAAACTCCTTTCTACCAGAGCTTTATGACTTGCAGAGCAGAATCAGCTTTATAGATTCAGGTTTTTATGTATTGGTGGTTCTGTTTCTCAGGGTTATGCGGGCAGCTGAGGAGACAACATCAAGCAATGTGTTTCCTTTCAAGTTAGTTCACATTAGCAAGAAGCGCAGGACATGGTTTTTTTCAGCTTCTTCTGAAGATGAAAGAAAGGTAACTTTATTTTGCACTATAATTTTCCTTGAAGTAGAAAGTGAATCTTAGACTTCCCTAAAATCTAAATGAACCAGACGCGCAGCTGCCACCTAGTTCTTTGGGCTCCTCTGAGAAATCGTGTCTGAAGTTTTAACTGTTAAGTTAGTGTGAGTTCAAGTTGTAATTTAGGGAATGGCTATAAGTGACATACTAGATGTCATGGTTTTCTCCATATTGCTCATTTTAGTTTTAGCCAAGGAACAAATACTTGTATGTTAAACCTTTGATAAAGTATGAAAACTGTTCAGTGAAATCTCTCACCCATAAACATACTATGAACAAGTACCCGGCTTTAGAAATAACAGCTTGCAATTCACAAACTGAAAGTTTAATATTTTAATACGTTCTTACAGCTTCTTATATAGTCAAAACATTTTGACTGATAAGCCCTCTCAATGCATGTATGTAGTCATGGATAAACACTGTTTCAGTGTAGGTTCCTTACTCTGCTCTTACAGAGGACAGATCCTGTGCATCTTCGTTTAATGATGTAAAGATGGCTGTATGGAATGTTGTATTTTTGTTCTTTCTTAGAATTGGATGCTATCCCTGAGGAGGGAAATTGATCACTACCATGAGAAGAAAGAAACAGTAACAGAATTCAGGTATCAACCCTTAATCTTTTTTTGCTTTTTATCCCTTTTGCACTGCCTCTTGACAATGGTATTTTAGGCTTTTTGCACCTACGAGTAACTTACTGTTGAATAAAAACAGGTGCCGTAAGGCCCAAGAATGAAAGGCCTTCCGAACACGTAGTTTAAAAGAATACCAAGACAAAAATAATCTTTTTACTAAGAGAACTTTTAAATGTCAGCTTTATGTAAAACAAATAAAAACTTTAAAATGACAGCAGCAACGTATCTGGCTGTTAATTGGGAAATAGGAATATTTTGCTTCTGCTTTTCCCGAGACCCACAGCACAGTGACGCAGAAAGTACTCTTGTCTCTTCTTTTGCAGTGACTCTGGTTCTGATGCAGACAGTTTCTATGGCTCAGTAGAACGCCCCATTGATATCAAGTATTCTCATCACTCAGCGGATAACGAAGGTGACAAATTTAGACACTGATAAATAAGTTTGATTTATTTGCTTGCTTATTTCTTCTGCATTCTGCAGGAACTATTCCCATAGCTTAAGCAACCTGATCCAATTTGCAACTATAAATTCTTGCTTTTTACAAGGTGTGTAATTGGTGTAATTCTGAACCAGAAGCAGATGTTCTGTGCCATAACCATTAGTAAAAATAAATGGTAACTAAAGAAATTCAGGCCTTTCAACGAAGTGTCTGACACCCTAATAATACTATTTAAAATTTTTGTTAATTATAATAGTAGGGTATTAGTCACTTACAAGTATGTTCTGAAAACATGCAGAGACAATGCAGGAAAACATTGCGGAGCTGGTTACCTCCTATCTAGACTGTAAAACTAATTCACCTGTCCTGCAAAACAAGCAGTCACCCACACTGGGATGTTGTTGCATCGGTGTTGTAGTCTGTTTAGTGTGAAACAGAACTGATCATTCCTCCAGTTCAGGAAGACCTGGCATTAGGCATAGGGTGGGCCTGTGTGAAACACATAGGATAACATTCTTCAGTGACTTTCAAACTTTTTTAAGTAAGGCTCTGAAAATCTCATTCTTAGCAGAGGCTTTTTTATTCAAAGTTTGATACCTGTTCATTGCTGTAGTTGTTTCACAGTAAACAGTTCTGGCTGAGTGTGTTTATTTTTTAATTAGAAGTGAGGACACTACAGAAAGCCTGTCGGATAGGCATTCACAGCACATTTCAGCAACTGACTTCCTCGTCAAGAAATGTGTTGGTAAAATCCAACATGAGAAGCCTCACCTCAAGGTTCAACGTAGTTCCTTTACTAGGCATTTTCCCACCTGCCCTTCCAGATTTCTAAGGACAGGGTTGATTGGAGGAAGTACTCTCATTTCCCGATAGGAAATTCCTGACTAGGACAAAAAAGCAGGAGTGAGTCTTTTTAGGAAATCCGGTTCAACTGCAGCAAAGCAGAGAACAGACTCATCAGCATTTCATGTAGGATTGTAGTTTAGTACTTTCTGCACTTGTGGGAGGGATGGGTTGCATGCAATACAACTTATGTTAAGAGGCCTAGCAGGAGTTTAAATTAGGAAAATTAGAAGAGCTAACTGATTGTTTATCAGATAATTATATTTTTTTTAAAAATGCATTTTCTGGGGAAATACTCAATATTTTCCTTGAGGCTCCTATCATAGTCAATGACGAGAAATTACTGCCTAGAAGTTGCATGTTTTTCATTGGCTTGATTATTCTGACTTACAGTTAAAGGCAACATTGAAACCATTTAAGGCATTTGTTGTGGTGCTTTTTTTTTTTTTGTTGTTGCTAGAGCAAGGCAAAAAAATTTTGTTGATCAACAGGCTTGCTTAGGCTCCTGTATTGTGAAATCACCAATGTTTCTGTCTTAGGGTTAGGTTTTGGGGACTATTTTTTCCAACTGGTTTTGCCAGTGCATTCATGTAGTTGTGTGTCTGCAACTGATTTGAATTTTTCTCAGGAAGGCTATAACACTAGAAAGTGTCACCAGAAAGTAAATTTTAACTTGAAAGATGGGAAAAATTTAGTGTGCGGTATAGTTCATCTCCCACTGTTCTAAGCAATGGCTTTCTTGACATCAAAATTTAAGGAAACACCTATTCTAAAGAGCAGAGAGGTGGACCAAAATTTTTTTTCACCTCTTAAGAAAAAATTAACTGAAAAATATTTGTTTATTAAAAAGCAATAAGTACTTAATACTCTTTCTTGGTGAGTACTTATCAGAGTTTGACACATTGATTTTTCTCTGCAGATTATGACCAGGAGGAGGAAGATGAGTCTTACTTGCAGCCAGATATTTCTGACCTAATGAAAGATGGTATGTGATTGCTTTCATTCCCTTCATGAAAGGCCACCAATGAAGGCAATATTCACGTAGAATGCCAGATTATTATTTTGGCTTGGTCATATCTTAAGCATTGCAGGTGGTAAAATAACTGAAGTAATGCACAGGTATCTAATCTTGAGAGGTGTTTAGGGTCAAAAGTTCCTAGTAGCCACAGTGACAATTCACAGGAAGTGTTACGTGCTTTTTAAGAGCATCTTTTCTTGCAGGCCTCCTGCCCTGGAGAGACCTGTATCTGGTCATCAGTCTGGAGAAGGAGTAATGCTTTTAATGTAGTCTCTTTTTCTTTATTTTTAGCAAAGGGAGAACTCATCATAAGCCATGCCTGAATAAAAATTGAAGGAGTTTACTACACATTCAGAATTGTGCTGAAAGTTAAATTCTTATCCAGCATTTTGGGTACTATCAGACCAGATGCCAATGAAACATCTTAAATTACATAGAAAATAAACTTGAAAAGTCTTGTTTCTTGACGTACTGTACTTCCCCTCAGTGTGTCATGTTTTGGGATGTTTTCTTTCTGTAGATATGGTCCTGCCCCCAGCCTACCCACCACCACCAGTTCCTCATGTCAGAAAAGCTGCCTACTCAGAATCAAGGGCAAATTCCTTTGCTGGCAAACCTACTGCACCAGCACCACCACCGCCTCCTAAAAGAAGCTTACCTGATATCAAACTAGAGGATCTCTTAAACGCAAGAGAACCCCAGTCACAGTGCCGAGATGAACCTAATCTAAAGATTCAGTCCTCAAACTGGAGACCAAGTGAACAGCTGCCCCCTGTACCCCCTCTACCTCTTCTCAAAAAGCCTGCGTGTGTCAAAGAATCTTGCTCATTGCCTCCAGAGCCTCTGCCTCTAGCTCGAGTTCTAGCTACTCCAGAAGGATGCGAGAAGCTAAAAACCTTAAACCTTTCACCACGAACTCCTCCTCCACTACCAAGCAGTAAACCCAAGTTTACTGAAAAACCAGTAGAGCTCAAAATGCCAAGAGAACATGTTAAACCCGGCCTGTTTGTGCCACCAGTGCTCCCAAAGCCACCTGTGCCAAGCCACCAGCCCCCTGGAATCAAGCCTAGACCGGAGAAATCTTCATGTCCCCAGTTACAGTAAGCATGAAAATACAATACACTATTCAGTTTTTCCATTGCGTATTAGGTAACTCATTGACAGACATATTTCTCAGATTCACGTTGACATCCATTTCTCTTTCCTGCACCATCCCTCTTTTCTTCATAGTGTTGTACTTTTTTGCCTCTGTACTTACTTGAAAATTTTGCAATGAGCTTATCTTTAGTAGATAAACTAAACTTTAAAAAAATTACACCAAAATTTTGTAGTTCATTTGTTTCAGGTCTGTCTTAAAGACTTAAAAGCCTTTGATCACAGTGAATAAGAAGCCTTTATGTCAGAACCTCAATGAACCGCAAAAACAATTTTAGGCTTCTGTGGAGATGGGAAACATGTTTCAGTTTATATTAAGATCAGCTCTAGTAAGGGATGTTGAACTAGTTACGGTGGCGAGTCAGATGAAAATATTTTGTCCATTGGATCATTTAGCAGCTCTGTAGAACAAGTAATAAACTCTTTAGACAGTACAAGGAGGACAGTGACCTACTGGAGTGAGTCCAGCGGAAGGCCACCAAGACATTTGGGCTGTAAACTGTGATGGGTGAGAAGAGGCTGAGAGAACTGGATTATTCAGCATTTAGGATGGCTTATGGGAGATCACTGCTGTCTGCAGCTGTGGGTGTGGAGAAGACAGAGCAAGACCTTAGAGGTCTGCAGTTACAGGATAAGAGGCAACAGGCAGAAGTCACAACCTGGGAAATTACAGCTGGATATTAGGAAAAACTTTTCACCATGCATATGGTGAAACATCAGAACAGGCTGCTGCGGGGAGGCTATGGAATCTCTATACTTGGAGATACTTGAAACTTCACTGCACATGGCTTCCCCAAGCTACTTGATCTAGCTGGACCTAGTTTGTGCAGGAGCTTGGACTAAATGCCCTCTAGAGGTCCTAACCTCAATTAATCTGTGATTTGGGGGCTAAACTGAAACTTGCTCTTCAGTTCTAGTTTTATTATCCCTTCAGTGTTTCGTGTATATTTGTTCTGTTTTCCTGAGGAGATGTCCTTCAGTTTTTGTTCTGCTTCTGCCAGGAGATCACCGCCAGATGGACAGAGTTTTAGAGGCTTCTCATTTGAAAAACCAGCACTACCCTCCAAGCCACACCAAGCTGATGATGATTCTGATGATGACTATGAAAAAGTAAGGTCAAGCAAATTATCTGCTTTCAGAGTATTTTTCTTGCTTATGTATACTTTTGGGAACATTTTAAATGCATATTTCAGGGAAAAAAAAACTTCCTGAAAACACAGTGTTTTCAGTGTGTGATTTTTTTTTTTTTAATTATTTTTTTTTAGTTTTAAGGAATGTCTTGATAAATTCTGGATTTTAGTATTGGATATAAAGGGGGAAGAAGCATACAGTAAAGATTAAATCACCATTAAAAAATTCAGATACTGATGGCTGTAGCTTATTTGCATAATAAGTTGCTAGCATTTTGAGTTGTCATTGACTTACACGGTGATTTATTTTCTTCATATTTTTACAGGTTGGGCTGCCTGCTTCAGTATTTCTTAATACTTCTGAATCCTTCGAAGTTGAAAGGTAGAATGTGATTTTAAAATAGTTGCTTAGAAGTCCTACAAAAACCTGCACTGAACAGTAGCCCAAAGATCATTTTGATACATACAATTTGTGTTTAAAAACACAATAAAAGTATTTAAATTCCTGTAATATGGAAATCACTTTTTCGGGGAGTTAGTTCGGTGCTCGTGCATCAGTTGAAAACGCGTACTCCTTGCAACGTGATTTTGTTCCACCTGGAGAAGGTTGTTCTGCCAGGATGCTGGATGGGACAGAAAGCCAGACCTTCAGTGCTGCGTTGCTGGTTCAGATGCTAGAACAGCTGAACCATAGCTGAAATTCTTACAGCTATGATGTACTATGAGTTATTACAACTAAAGCAAGAGATTTGCAATAAGAATTTTAAGAGTCTAGGTGGTTTAGTTATCTGATATGGAAGATGCTAATATATGTAATTTCTGTGTTATTTTTAGGACGTTTAAAGCCAATAGCCCCCGGGGACAACCGCAAAATGGATTGTACTGTATTAGGAACTCATCTACTAAGCCTGGAAAGGTAACGTGCAATTGCTGAATCTACCCCACATCAAACCTTTTTTAGAGATACCATATCTTACATGTGATAAAGTTCTTAACAATTTACACATGCTCTTTCCTTAAAGCAAGAAAATCTGAGACAATCACTATCATAACTTCAGTGGTTGTTTTTTTTTTTTTTTTCCTGGATTGTAACTATTCCCTTAATAATACATTGACTTACAAGAGCTTATTAGCATAGACTGAATATGTTGCATTTTTCTTCTTCAAGGTATTGGTTGTATGGGATGAATGTGCAGAAAAAGTGAGAAACTACAGAATCTTTGAAAAGGTTAGTAGCTGCACTATGTATGTATGCATGCATATATGTGTGTGTGTATACATGTATGAATATGGGTGTGTGTAGGGTGTGCATGTGTACAGGTATACATCGGAACTGGTAAGTGAAAACCTAAACTTCTTCCCGTTCCTAGAAGTAAAAATAAGCTGATTTACAGCAATCTGGTCTAGGATGAGCATTGGAGTACTCAGATCTAGGCTGTCTCGTTGCTGTATTGTGCACAAGACAAAGTAGCTGTAAATGTTCTCAACTAGATTTCAGCTCCAGTCAAATCCTAAAGGAAGGAATATTAAATTCCTGAGTTTATTTTGGGCTTATTTGTGGAAGTAACTAATTTGCAAAGCAGTAGCTTGTTTGAAAGAACTTAGTTCTGATGATGGGATGTTGTTTTAAATATTGAGTTGGAAAAATGACTGTCAATTATTACATATGGGTTTTTGTTCTACAACAGGATTGCAAGTTTTACCTGGATTCAGACATCATGTTTTTGAACATGGGAAGTTTGGTCGAATACTACAGCATTCATGTCTTACCTAGTCACGACAGCCTGATTCTTCGGTGTCCTTATGGTTACTCTAAACCAAGGTGACATGACTGGCATCATTCACTGACGCTTAGGACAGATGGGTTCCCTGCTGCCCTTAAATTAAATGTGGACTCCTGCCACTGTTGGACATCCCATTGTTTGCACACAGAAACCGAGGCTGTTTCAACCATTTATTCTCGCATGAATTGTATATGGGGTCCATTTAATGGACTCTTGGTAAAACCTTACAATCCAGATCAGTGGATTTTATGGTCTCTTCTTTTAAAAAGATCTGAACTGGTTATGCTGTGAAAGCTGTCCGTGATACCTACACCTTTTATAAAACTGCTGCTATTACTAATCTCCTTGGAATGTGGAAGATGGACACGAACAAAGAAGTGGTCTGAATACAACTGATGCAGAAAAGGGAAACTTCTGAAAGTATATCAGAATTCACTCGTGACAGGGAATACTAATACTCTGACTTGAAGGTGTTACGCCTTAAGTCAGCACTGGTGCTGAACTGAGACTTTCTGTATTACTTGTATAGTTGTGTAAATAATGAAGACTTCTGTGCAAATAATTTGGTTTACTGTAGGTCAAGATAATCAGGAAATGTGGCTTGTGTTGTGTTTGGTGGCTTGGGGTTTTTTTTGGTGGGTGTTTTTTGTTTTGGTTTTTTGTTTTTTGGTTTTTTTTTTTTTTTTTTTTTTAGCAAACTCAAATGTAACTGCTGATGACAGTGTCTGCAGTAATTGGGATCAGGGTACTAGCCAACTGATAGGTTGTGGCATCCCACGTATTACTTAACGACACGCACTTCAGATAGGTGTGGAGTAATATTGACTTGGCTTTCATGGGAGCCCCATTGCTTGGTTCTGAGCTGGAAGGGTAGGTGCCATCAGTGTTTTTAACGGGGGTGAGAAAAGAGAAAGGACTACTTGAGATTAAGGGCGAAGGGAGGGAGTCCATTGAATGCCCCAGGTTCTGACTAGCAGTTTTCTCTCACATTGCCATCAGCATGGGTTCTTTAAAACAGAACACAAAAACCTCCTGAAACCATGAGTGTGATGCTACTACCACGCCATGGATCTTTGTAGTCAGTCTCTTTGGATCCAACTGTCAGCCCACTGCGTTCTGTTTGAGGGCAGAATGTGCTGCCCTGGTCTATTCCTTGCAGTTCAGCAAGATTCTTCCATTGTTGCAATTGCTACTCAGTTTGTAGTTGCATGCAAAATAAAATCTGTTTCTAACATAAGATCAGCACTATCAGACTCTCAGTGATAGGCATTAGCGGGGTGCTTGTAGTATTTGTTCCCTAGTATTTTGGGAACAGGTATCCTAAAACCAAGGGCTTGATATTCATGCCAAAATGACCATATTCCTAAATTCTAAGAAAGAGAATGCATTTATTTTAATAACCTGTTAAATAACTTTGTTGATTCAAAAGTACTGCTATAATGGTCTCAAATCTCTAATAATGTTTACAAGACTTGTAATAATAACTTAAAAATAATCCTGTCACTCCTGAAACAGGGGATGGTATCTAGTTTCTATCAGTTTGAATCCATATCCATAAGCTTCTTTTTTTTTTCTGTTACCTTTTCACAGTTTATACAGGTCAGTTTTAATCTTGTTACAGTTAGATGGTTGCTACTTTAAAAGCATAAACAAAACTGATACAGCATAAGAATTTTCTTTTTATGAAAACAGTAAACCAGGATTTAATCCCTAAGGATTTTCCTTAATAACAAGATGCAATATTGGGACCATACATAGGAATCAAGGCAAGAAGCTCTGCCTCTGTCTTTTGCAAGAGACACAGACATATACAATATCAGTCTTCTGATCTCTGATCCTGCTGTAATAGGTTTTATGTGCACAAAGTAAGGAATATGCAGTACTTAAATTTCAGATTCTATTCAATACTGAATATTTTAAATGTCTGATTTCTTTTATTTTAATAAGTATCCCTGTGGTTCACTACCCTGATATGATCCTCTCTGTAAAGAAGGCTCAGCCAACAAAGCATTTAAAAAATATTTTTGGCTTATAGATACATGTATACCTGAGCAAGTTCTAGTTTCTTGCAGTATTTACATATACTGTTTACAGTGTAAATTTCTCTCTGTCTGGGAATAATTGACTTGATTGTGTCATGACAGTCAAACTTACAGTATGCTATTTTGGGGGCCCTATTCAGATATTTAATTTTTTTGCAACCTTAATCTCTTAAAATTTTTAAACTGAAAAGATACTTATGTAACCCAGTACATATAAAACATAACACTGTCTTTACCTGTGTAATACAAGATTTGCAAATATGTAAATTTGTGTTAATTTCCTTTTTTACATAACTATATGTATTTCTGAAGTGGATAAACTTTCAATGCCAGTTCATCTAATTTTGTGCAGTTGTCTTTAACTTCATGAGTGTGTGTCTTAGTGCTTTTGCTTGTAGTTGTGTTAAATGGTGCTTGATTCTTCTAACTGCGAAGTTAGAGCTGGTTTTTAGCCCTGTTTAAGAAGCAAAACTTCACATAAGCACAACGCTATCAGAAATTTGTCCATCAGACAGTGTAGCTGGGAGTGGAAATTACCCATTTTCCACTTACTTCAAAGTTTCTGAGTGCAAGTTGGAGAACTTGAAGTGTGCATTTTATCTATGGACACAAACTGTGAGTATGGCCATAATAAATAGTGTGTCTCGGAGGAACAGGGATATGCTTAGGCAAGAAAGCCAAGCCTCTAAAGGTGTTCTTCAGGAGCTTGCTTGGGAAAAGAGGATCTTCCTGTTTCCCAGCACCTAATAGCCCTTCTGCCCAGAAACGTCGGTGTAACCTGGTAGGTTTACATCCATAGGTCAGTACTAGCATGGTAGGCTTACAACCTCTAGTAGGTTTCAATCTCTGACATCTCCAGAATTCAAGCTAGGAGGTACATGTAAGGACATGCTAAGTAGTCCCCTCATTCCTCCAGAAACATGTAGAAGGGTTCCCAACAAATCTGCAGTTGCTTACACTCTCTTCCAAGTCATCTTGCTCCTACATACTATTCGAGTCTGTCTTGTATGCAGAATTAGATGAAGTTAAATTGCTGGTGTTTGCAGGGAGGAAGGGCACAGCTAGAGTGCGTGGTTCATAGTCTGTCTCCTATACCTCTTGCTAACCTGACTCTCCTCTTTCCTTCACCACGAATCAGCCTCTTGCATATACAACCTACTGCAAGCTTCTTAGCTTAAAACAGCTTGTGGAGAAGGTAAAAGCAGTATTTGGTATGCCAAAAAAAAAAAATGCAGTTTGTGACCCTTGTAATATCCAAGTCAAAATAATTGATACTCGTTTGGAAAGTCTTGCCTCTTCTGTCTAAACTTCCAAAAAAAAGTGTTACAGGTGATATTTGAGGAGGGATTGCTCTTCTAGGGGAAAAAATTAGAGTAGTTTTGAAAAGAAAAGTTTCAACAAGGGACTGTTAGTCAATAGGTAGCATATCGTAAGAAGTGATCTGATCTCCAGACCCTTTCTCTATAGTGAACGCGCTTTGTGTCAGCAGCTTGTCCAGTATTCCCTAGTTCAGAACTTCAGTTTTTACAAGAATGCAAAGAAGCAGCGATGGTTTGTCCTGCTTTGGAAAGTACAAAAGGGCTGTAAAGACTTCTGAAGCTTGAATGTGGTTATTTTGAATTGGGGGACACCTGCTGGTCAGCCTGTCCCAGGCAAGGTTCCAAGCAACGGCAATACAGCTGCCAAGTGTCTGCATGGAAGTCATCTGGGTAGAATTCAATCCTAAGTGACTTCAGATAGAAGCTAGAGATTAAAGTTTAACCTCAGGTGTAAACTTGATGGGCCAGGTCTTTGAAACTTAGGACGTCTTTTGGCTCACGTTTCTCATGTAAGTAGCAATGTTATTTAGCAAAATTACTCATCTGAATGTCTTTTAACCTAGATGACAACAAAATTAATTGAATTTTATATTGCTGTGTTTAAATTACTCTTAAAATACACTTTGAGGTAGAATTCACATAATGGACACCTGAGCACAACCTAAATCACTGACATCATGAAGCTTTAGAGAGTTGTTCTGAGCACTAAATACTTCACCTAGCAGCAAGCAACCCACATGATGTCGCAATAGTTTCTATTTTACTCAACGGTCAACTCATTGAAGTCAAGCAGGGTTGTTTTTTTTCTAGCAATGGGAGTGTTTGAGATGACCACGAGTACAACCTCTTGAACAGGAGAGCACACAGTTCCTTTGCTATAAATACCAAATAACAAACGCCACTAAAACTTTTAGAGTAGACAGCGTCTGAGCTCACTTTAAAATGGGATGAACTGAAGTGGTTAAGTTCAGGGGGCTTAGGGTACAGAGTAAGTCTTGTAGCATAGCCAGCCCCAAAACCTGTTCCTTCAGGACTTCCATTCCGCTGTCTCTGTTACAGGACGGTCATTGCTAATCCCTCGCCCCTATCTCCTTCCTTACAGCATCTGGTTGCCTGGGGAATGGGTAATCCAACCTCTTGCGGTCATGACAAGGCCCTAACGGGTGTGTAATCTTGGAGATATCAAAGAATATTTTTTAATGTAATTTTACTGACAGATACCTCTACTGGAGTTGCTTTGCCCAGAAATGACGGTAGTAATAACCGTTGGCAGGATTAGACCTCTGGATATGCAAAACCAGGGAAAAGCACCTAACCCTTCTTTGAGTTACCGCTTTCTCTGCCTTGTAACAACCACTTCCTACCAACTCCTTCCGTGTGCAACCTTGGCACGGCTGGCTCTTGCACTCGGAGGCTGGGGCGCATGTAAATTCTGACCTTGAAGACATTTTGCACCAGTACTGAAGGCCAGAAAAGGTATGTTACAGCAGCGCAGAAAAAAGAAAGGTCTTTTCCATGTAAACTTGTTAAAGGGCTTTCTTACAGGATGAATAACGCAAGATGTACCGGGAGTGGCCTCCCAAGCTGTCCGTTTTAGACTTCAGTGACTGTGTAGCTCTTTAATTTACTGTGCTAACATTCACTTTTATTTATTTTTTCCAAGTAAAAGCCAGGCACGCCCTTTCCATGGGAGTACTGCTGAAAACGTGCCTTTTTAAAATTAAATGTAATTTAAAGGAATTCAGAATTTGATAGTCTAATATTACAGAGCTTCTCCCAAGATTGATTAATTTTCTTTTTTATATAATAATAATTAAACTATGAAGTACTTAAAAATATTTTTCTTATGCTTCTCAGGCCTCCTCATTACTTTAAACTTGCCCTGGTATCTTTTTTCTTTTTCCTTTCTTTGTTTTACTCTCCTGGGCCTGTTTTTAAGTCCTACCTCTTCAAAAGTTCTAACTTTTCCTTCTCCTCCTAAGGATGAAGACATCCTTAGAGAGCAGCTAAAAATAATCCCGTCAGCAGCTCTAGTGACACTGGAATTAGTAGAGAAACAACTTGCAGAGAACATACATCTAGAAGGCACAGGATCCTTAGGAAGCTGTAAATGTTGCAATTACAAGAATCGTCTTTACTTGGAAAAGGATTTTGGAAAAACAAACCCAAACCTCCACAAAGAGCATTGTGATGTTAAAAAAGAAAGTTGGTTGCTTGATTTCCTTTTGGCTAAAGCAATCATTGCACCTTTGGTTGTGTTTAATTGAAACTGTTATTAACCAGCTTGAACCATGAAG